ATGAAGACGTCATGTTTTTGAAAACGAAAGACTGTGATGAGCCTTTACCTGACGAGGGTCCTGAGAGGGAATCTCAGTAGAAGCTGGTTTTTGACGGAGCGGTTAATTCATATGGTAACGGAATCAGCGCAATCATTACTACTCCTCACGGTTCTCATATACCGTTCATCGCCCGATTGGCGTACGCCTGCACCAATAATGAAGCCGAGTATGAAGCTTGTATTATGGGTTTAGAAGAGGCTATTGATATGAGGATTAAGAATCTGGATGTATATGGTGACTCAACATTAGTCGTTAACCAGATCAAAGGAGAGTGGGAAACTCGTCAGGTCAACCTGGTGCCTTATAGAGATTATGCAAGGAGACTGCTGCTTTTCTTCGATGGAGTTGATTTCCATCATATGCTGAGGGATGAGAATCAGATGGTAGATGCCTTGGCCACGCTAGCTTCGATGTACAAAGTGAATTTTTAGAATGAAACTCCAGCTATTACCATCATGCGTCTTGATAGACCTGCTTTTGTGTTTGCAGTTGAGAAAGCATCTGATGGAAAGCTTTGGTATTTAGATATCAAGCATTTTCTCAAGACTCAGAAGTACCCATCTAGGGCATCCAACAAGGATAAAAAGACTCTGAGGAGGTTATCTGGAAATGTTTATCTGAACAAGGACGACGTGCTTTACAGGAGAAACTTTGACATGGTCTTGCTGCGTTGTGTTGATGAACTTGAAGCAAACCTGTTGATGGAGGAAGTTCACGAGGGTTCTTTTGGCACTCATGTCAGTGGACATGCAATGGCCCGAAAATTGCTGACAGCTGGGTATTATTGGATGACTATGGAATCCGATTGTTTCAAATACGCCAGAAAATGCCATAAATGTCAGATTTATGCGGATAAGGTGCATGTGCCACCAACTCCTCTGAATGTGTTGACATCTCTTTGGCCTTTTTCCATTTGGGGAATCGATACGATTGGAAAGATTGAGCCGACTACTTCTAATGGACATCGCTTCATTCTGGTCGCGATTGATTACTTTACGAAGTGGGTAGAAGCAGCGTCCTTCGCCAATGTCTCGAAACAGGTGGTAGCCCGATTCATAAAGAAGGACATTATTTGTCGTTATGGAATTCCTGAGAGAATCATTACTGGTAATGGTTCGAATTTGAATAACAAAACGATGAAGGAAATGTGTCAGAGTTTCTAGATTGAACATCACAATTCTTCTCCATATCGTCCGAAGATGAATGGCGATGTTGAGGCAGCTAATAAGAATATCAAGAAGATTGTACAGAAGATGGTTGTGACCTACAAGGACTGACATGAGATGTTTCCTTTTGCTCTTCACGGTTATCGTACTTCGGTGCATACATCAACCGGGGCAACTCCTTTCTCACTGGTGTATGGTACGGAAGCAGTCCTACCATTGGAAGTTGAGATTCCTTCTTTAAGGGTATTGTCGGATGTAAAGCTTGAAGAAGTTGAATGGGTACGAACCAGGTTGAATCAGCTGAGTTTGATTGATGAGAAACGATTGGCGGCTATTGCTCATGGCCAGGTGTACCAGAGTAGGATGAAGAAAGCCTTTGATCAGAAAGTGCGTCCTCGGTGCTTCCAAACGGGTAATTTGGTGTTGAAAAGGATCCTTCCTCCTCAGACAGATCACAGGGGAAAGTGGACTCCTAACTATGAAGGTCCGTATGTGGTAAGAAAGGTTTTCTCTGGCGGAGCCTTATTACTATCTACCATGGATGGTGAAGATTTTTCGTCTCCTGTGAACGCATACGTGGTTAAAAAATACTTTGCTTAAAGAGACCCGCTGGACACAAAAAGAAAATTCCAGGAAAAAATGGGGCATCCCGGCAAACCATAAAAAGAAAAGGTTCGGGCAAAAATTAGGGATAAAAGAAAAAGAATGAACC